CAACTGAGCCACCCAGGCACCCCTACAACTCCTTAAGTCTCAATTATACAACTACAAATGGATGCATAAGGGTAGGTGGATTTTGAAGTAAAAGGTAATCCTTTAATGAAGATGCTGGGTGTTGGGGCGCCTGGGTGGCTCAGTTGGTTAAACCTCTGCCTTCAGCTCAGGTCATGATCCCAGGGTCCTGGGATCGACCCCCATGTTGGGCTCTCTGCTCAGCTGGAAGCCTGCTTCTGCCCACTCTGCCTACTTGTGCTCTCTCTCTGTCAAACAAATAAATAAAATCTTAAAAAAAAGAAAAGATGCTACGTTGTGTGGAGAGGGGCAAGTAATAAATAACTCACCTTTGGTGTGTCCCTGAATGAAGGATGCAACAAGCTATGTGTTGCTTTTATTATAGCCTCTGGTTAGAGGTTCAGTTCCAGGAGAATAAAGTTAGCCCAAGTTACCCCAGTGTGGCTGGGACCAGCCAATTAAAGATGAAATAGTTAGACTGCTGATTTTAGGTTCTTCACATTTTGGGCCAACAAAACTCTCAGTGGTTTATTTTTAAATTCCTAGGGAAACACTGTTTGATGAAAACTTTGGATATTTCACAATGCTAAAAGGAGAGTACACCTCTTAGTTTAAGGGGGAATGATGATAATGCTTCTTGATGAGAATTGGTATCCTTAAATTCGCTTGGGGATGGCACAGATTTCAAAGGTGGGGATGCATTTGACCTTAGCAATGCTTCATTAATTTTCAGATCCATTTGAATTGTTTCTCCTCACCTCCCTTCACTGGCAACTTGTTTTCCTTTGGGGTTCCCACACAAAATTATAAATCTTTAAAACAATAGTTTAGAGGGGGAAAACCAAAGAGGAAGACATTTGCTTATTTACCGGCAACCTGAATTCAGACGCCTAATGCAAGAGGGCTCAGTCTCCCTTCCCTTCATTATCTGCTCTCCTTGGATCACAGCAAAGTACAAAGGCTATAAAATAGGTCCTCTCTCCTCCCCACTGGGTTTTCACAGTTGAATACCTAAATCCAGGTGAGAAATACCCATTTTGCAAGGCAACTGTGAATGAAAGTCTTGGGTATCAAAATCACATCCACTAAATTTAGTAAAAAAAGAAGAAAAAAATGCCTCAGCGTGGACTTCCAACACTTGAAAAGTAAGACACTGCTTTTAGAAGTGTGGTGTTTTTCCGCTGTCCTCATCAGTTCCCTAGGGAAATTCCAAGGGGAAGAGACCAGGGATAAAGAGCTTTCTGTATTTCTCTTGGTTTTAACTGCTAAAACAATTTTTGTTCCATTAGGTTTGTAATGTGAGATCTTTCAGAGTGAATTTACACAAAGGCCTCTGACTTTATTAATTCATCACAACTAACCTCAGTCTTCACATGTCTAAAAACAAATTGCTGACTTCCCATAAATTCCAACATCTCCTTACACTCTGCCTTGAAAGTTGTTCACTGTAAAATTATTCCAGGATTTCAAAGACTATTCAGCTAGCATGGCACAGAGATACGCATGCCATGAATAGACATATGTTTACACACAGAGAAATAGTTATCAACTCATCTCTTCAGGATTCAGCTTGGGTTAATCCAACATCAATCTAATCTGCAAAATCTAGGCTGCCAACCACAATTTGACCTCCAAGAGGCCAGCTAGCTACTGGCTACTAGATGGAAAGCATCTCCACAAGGTCTTGAGGAATGACAGGGATGCCCTGAGATATTGTCTAGCTGCTTATCCAAAGTATCTCCCAAGATTGCTCATCTATGCCTTTCCTGGAATCCCTTTCCATATTCATAGAATGGGGAGAGTTTGTAGAAAGATGGCTCGTAGGCCTCCCCCTATAATACATACTTTGAAACTCTCCAAAGCAGATCCATTGGAAAATTGCCACCTTCCTGCAAGAAGTATATCACTATCTGGCTACATTCAGCCCCACCACCTCCCCAGGTTGATCTCCAAATTTCCAGAACAGGAGACAAGCGAATTACGCCATCACACCGCAAAATGGTGCAACGTGAGCGGACTAGCTAGGACATGTTCAGAGCCTAAAACTGTACTCCAAATGAAGAGTTATCAAACTTTGAAAGAGCGTTTAATTTTGTTATTTCATTAGATCAATGACCTGCCTTTTTAAAGCAGCAGAGGGAGCACAACATGGACCGAACAAAGAGAGGGACGAAGAGTGAGTTGGTCTCTGAAGCAGCTCCTTTTCCATTATAACTGTGACCCACAGAGTCACTAACTAAATTAACTTCACCTGGGGGAATTAAATGGATTTGTCACTAAGTAGACACCCCCCACCCCGTGTGAAAAAGTTCACATAGTCCTAAAAACCGGTTGTGGAACTATTTGTATTTTAGTGGGAGCATCTATGGGGCAAATTCTAATTGAGGGTGGGTGGCTCTTGTTGAGAATGTATCAATCACACACAAACTGGTCAAGTGATTCTGAAACAGTATCCGTCAGCTAACTGGACTCCCCGTGATTTTCTCACTGGATTAACCATCAGGAGCAGCTGAAACTCTAGCACTTTATTCTGTCAAATACCAAAAAAACCCAAAATAGGTCCATCAAACTGAAGTGTTCCTATTAGTTGCCACGAGATTATTCCAAAAGGAAACAATGACAAACCAATATCATTAGTAGATGGGAGGCTAAAAGCAATACATTAAAAACAAATAAAAATGTTACATGCAGTCTGCAGGTCACTGAAGGGACTGCAAATCTCAGGTATGAAAGATCTGAAATACAAAAAAGGCAAGTAAATATCCACTGTAAAAGTAATGGGCCCAAGCTCTCAAATTAAAAAAAAAATTTTTAAGATTTTTATTCATTTATGAGAGAGAGAGAGAGAGAGAGCATGGGCAAGAGAGTGAGAGAGAGCATGAGTTGGGGGGGAGAGGAGCAGAGGGAGAAGCAGGCACTCTGTGGAGCAGGGAGTCCTATGCAGGATTCGATCCCAGGACCCTGGGATCACAACCCAAGTAGAAGGCAGACACTTAACAAACTGAGCCACCCAGGCGTCACCCCCCCGGCTCTCAAATTTTGAGGAATATTATGCTGGGCCACTCTAGTGCATCTAAGACCCTTGTGTGTATTAATAGAAATAGCTACTATACCTCCACACTATAATCTTATAAAGCATTATCATCGCCCCCATTTTATAGGTAACAAAACTGAGACTTCAAAGAGCTTAAGTAACTTGCCCAAGTTCACACAGCTAGCAGAGACAAAGGCAGCATTGGAACCTGGGCTGTGTGACTCCAAAGTGCACTTGACTGCTACCCTTGTGAGTTCGGCCTCATCCCACCATGTAACTTTCGGAGGAGGTTTGACGTTATTTGGGCTGAGACAGAGAAGAGAACAAATTAGAGGTTATAAGGAAAAAAAGCTGTCCTGGCCCCAAAGGCTAGTTCCAGACTCATGATACTAGATGCCCCTGCTTTCAAGCTTTTAGCCTATAATCAACCCATATTGAAACCAGATTTACGAGCTCTTCAGAGGAGAGCTTTGTGATTTTCTAAAGCAGACATGTTTGGTATTTTAGAAGGTCAAACCCCCTATGGTGCAGTGTTTTTAATAAAATCAGTTCAGCAGAAATTAGAGACACACCAGTCAATTCCTAGGAAGCCTCTGAGCCATTCAAAATAAGGGTGTGTGTGTGTGGGGGGGATAACATAAAAGACATAACCACGTACAGATCAATTTTTTCAAGAGGGATAGAATGGAAGGGGTGTAAGATACAGAAACATCATGGCAAATTTGGTCCCATTTGTCTCTGGTTGTGGCAAATTTCCACTTAGAAAAAAAAAATCTTACTTTTCGGGGGGGGAGTTCTATGTCAATATTAAACAAGGGCTGTTCCTGGTTACCCCGGCCTTGTCCTGTCACCTCAAAGTAACAGTAAACATCTCCAGGAGGGAAAAACAAACACAGCAGTCATCACCTTACTTACATCACCAAATCAGGTAGGTAGTTATTTCATGAAGGGCCCTTTATCTCCGCTGTTGGCAGCTTCCGCACTCTCACAGGAAAGCAAAAGGAGAACCTATATTTAGTTCTTGGTAAAAATCAAAGTTGACAGACCTGCAATATTTTCATCGAAAAGGCCGAGTTATGCCCAGACCTGCCTTTGGAGACTGGTGGCTGGGGCAGTGTGCAAATACTAAATGAATAAATATCTCATTTAGTATCTATGAATATGACCCATGGAGGGGAAAGGGTCTGTCATTAGGAAAAGACACAGGAGTAGGAATAGTCCATTATTATGTGGCTAGCACTTGAGCACCCTGGACACCCAGTCCGCCAGCAGGGGGCAGGCGCACAGCGCCAGCGCCCCCCTGAATGGCGGGGGGGGGTGTGTGTGCTGTAAATAGCCTCGTGAATGTACAGTAGAAACAAGAGGCAGGGTAGCTAACAGTCAACCGAAGTAGAGGCATTTTGCATTCATCTTCCAGGATATGTGATTTCAGGGCCAGCCGAGACCCAGGCCTTTCCTGGAGGATGGGGTTTACTGGTTTCCAAGTGATTCAAAGTATCGGACTTCAAATCCTTCACTGCCTTATTTAACGAATTGCTGAGTTCTTAGTTAACTGGTATTTGGAACAAATGGGGTGAATAAGAGTAACAGCAGGGCGAGCAGGGGGAAAAACTAACTACATGGAGCTGATAGAAACTTGAGGCATCGCTGTGCTTGCTTGACGCTACATGTGAAAGCAGGATGGATAAGGAGCAAGAAGTCTTTTAACCTTCGAGCTACGGAACTACTGTAATTTGGTCTGGAGCTCAAAGTGGAGATGAGGGTCGGAACTCCATCAGGTGGCAATTTCGGTGAACTTTCTTATCTAGACGGTTTTGGATAGTTAGATCACAATTCTCTGGCTCCCTCAAAAAGCAACACACCTAAAACTCAACACCCTTTATAAACTGTAAGCCATGCGTGCGAGAACTGCCATTCTCAAAAAGCACAATACGAATGCCGTCATTTATTAAAATGTGTATTTATTCCATAGCCTACTTTGTACGGGGCTGTGGCCTATTAATTATTAAATAATCTAGGTACTCGTTTTTAGACTAATCATTTCGACTCGGATTCTTCCATGACCTTGGCGACTGCATCTGTCTTAAGTGACCCAAATCATGCTTATCATAAAATAATCCCCCAAATATGCACACACACAATCCTTTAACACTCGTAAAAGAAAACCCCATACTCAAATATGCAGACGAGAGGTTCATTTTTAAGCAGAAGTTTCAAATATACAAAAGAATTGGGAGGAAAAAAAAAAGAATCCTACATGGCAAATGCGTCTCACGTTTAGGATAACAAAGACCTATTTGGGGGGGAAAGCACACAAATGTGGCATGGGTTTAAGTTCAGGCTGAGCAGTGTTGCCAGACAGAAGGTCCTGCAGGAGTGAAAACACTGTTACTTAATCAGTGACTGAAGTCAATGTGGAGAGCAGGGGGCCCTAGTGTTCTTTAAATCTCAGTTGATACAAATAATCTTCACTATTGAAACCCTTTCTAAACATTGAGAAGAAAAAAAATGCGTGAAGGAAAGTTTGAAAACTAGGAGCATGATAGGATCAAGTTTGGCTAATCTGGGATCCAAAACATTTAATCTGGTCTGAGACAAAGTCAACTGATAAATTAATCAACAGTAAAAGTAGACAGTGACTAACTTGAACTACGAGAGGAAGTTTCGTTTAGCAGGTTTGGTTTGGTTTTTCTTTTTTGGTTGGAGGTAGACACATTTTAAAAAGCATTTCAGAGCAACTGGATTAAGTTGATGAATTATTACCTTTGCTCATAAGGCAGCTCTAGACACTGATCCATCACATCCGACCTAGTATAAAGTTTAAGATTTCTCTTAGAATAATCCTGGTTTTTAGCTTTCACCTAACAAAAACATGTGGGTAAGACACTGAACGATGAGCAGGACACATTTAGAAATTCTCCACACTGTAAGAAAACTACAAATATGCATGTAAGGATAAACAAGATCTTGGTCTTGTTTAAAAACAAAAAACAAAAACAAAAACAAAAAAAATCAAGCCAAATCCTACAGTTGAGCCCTTACTATGAGCGACAACAGATCTTCATTTGTATAATTAACATTTAGTTTCTTATGCGTCCCACTTAGTTTTTAATTTATGACAAGACACCGCTAAATTTCAGACAAAATATATATATATATATTTTTAAATCTTTACAATAAATCAAGATGTTGGAGCTTACACAGAGCACATTTTAGTTTATTTAGGTACTCGATTTCAGCTCGCTCAGATGCAAATAACCCTGGTAACAGTGTGTACGTAGTCTTCTCGTTGCTTCTTATCATTTTTAAAGCAAATAATACATTTGACCGTATTTAAAGAGTCTGTGCAAATAATCCTTCAGAAGAAATAGCCAAGATTCTGTTTGCAGAGGTCGTTCTGTCTCTCGAAGGTGAGTCCGTGAGTTCGTTTTTCTTCAGATAAAGTGCTCCTGTCCAGCAGAACCCCAAGCCTTCCAGCGCCCACAAACTTCGGTTCGGGGTCAGCCCCCGTCATACGAACTCCAGCTTCCCGTGCCCACTGTACATGCCCCAGTGGACGAGCGAGAGGATCTTCTCGTTGCTGAGGTCCGCTTGTCTCATCTTGTCACAGGTCACACAGCAGTTCTCATGGCCGCTTACTGGCACCATGCACTCCAAGTCTAACTTGGCTACCTGCCCCTTTTTGGAATGGTGTCCATGGAAGCTGTAGTGCAAACGGGACAGCATCTGCTGCCGCTGATCCTGCAGTCTCTTGTTCTCACTTCGGAGCATCCTCAAGGCCAGCATGATCAGCAATACCAGGATCAGGCCGCCGGCGATGGGCACGGCGATCACGGCTGCCCGGAACCACAGCTCTTTGGAGGAAGTCAGCTCCTGAACTTTGGTGATGAGGTTCCTGCTGCCGTCGAGCTGATGGCGGTTTCCTTGTCCTAGAGCAACACAAACGCGTGAGCAGACCGTGGTAAGCCCTCCCGCAGGGGTTTATGATCATCTATCCATCTGCAACAAGGCCCCCCATGAGAAAGCAGCTTGTGGTGAAATCAACAGTATTTACAAAATACATGTTGCCAAGCGATGCAAAGATCAGCTTCCAAGAACAGTCCGTTTAGGGACTGTCGTTCCTGAACAGTAAGGGTCCTCTGGGTCTTCCAAATGTGGGAAAACCAGGCAAAACCTATTATGCAGACAAACATCTCATGCTCAGGCCAACATAAAAGCTACTAGATAGAGATGCATCTTTGCATCCAGCCATGCCTCTCCCTCTGGTGTCTCTAATTACATTAACAACAAAATCAATAGCAGACATACAAAGTCGAGGCTGCCGCCGGCCTACAGAACAGGCTGGCGTCCTGGGGAGAGGGGGCTTCTACCTACCTGAGGCCTCCCCCTTGGGAGGGGCGAGCACATCGTGCAGCCCTCGGTAATTGCACATATCTTCGTGACAGCATTCCAATGTGGGCATGGTGGTGCCAGAGTGGTTTCGGGCCTGTGTGGCTTGGCAAATGTCTGCTGTGCTTGCGAGAGAATCCAGGCAGCCATGGGTGAGCGGGGAGTTTGTGTTCTGAGGATCAAGAAGCCTAGAGAAGCAGGCGCTCAGCTCCGACTTACACATATAGCCAGTTGCCACGCAGTGGGCAGCATCACAGTAGCATCTGATTTCACCTGAAGACAATGGGAAACTGCATCAAACGCCTTCCGAGACCAGATAAAGCTTCTACCTGGGCAACTGCTCAACCTCAAGATCAGAGGCACGAACTTTTAGAACAGTCAGCTGAGTGCCAGCAATGGCAGCCCCGGGTCGACTTGGGAGAGCCCTCTGTGCAAGCCAGCGCTTAAATTTCAACCCAGTGAAACGTAATTTTAGAAACGTATTAACCCCAACAGCAAAGAATCAAAGTTCGATGGCGATTTCTGAGAAGTTTAGCGAGTCGTTCAAAATATTACTTCTGGATTGGAAGGGAAAGAATCATCACAAGAACTTCCCCTACCATCAGGTAAATTAAGCTGTTTATTCATTTTAATCCTACGTGACCATACAACATAAAAATGCTAGGCTTTTTGATTTTGTCAGTATAAATATTTGATCGGAACTACTGAATTGTTTACTACCTTAAAGGGCTGTGCCAAGATTTAAGAGCTTTAGCTAACACCTTATAAAGTTATTAACTAGAAACACAACAATCTAGAAATTGCTCCGGTCAGGAGGTTTTAAAACTATGAAACTGGGCAGCTATTTGCAACTTCTCTAGAAAAGGCAAACTTTGCCTATAAAGATCTTTTCATGCAGAGGAGCTTTTAGTCAGTATATTGTAAAACAGGAACTAGGCAGTTTACAATTAGTGGTTTGCTTGCCAAAGTCAATTTCTTTCAGCCCAAATGGAAAGTCATAAAACTGGGGGGGGGGGGGGGGGGTGAGGAGGGGAGGCGGGTGTAAAACGGCAAAGCTAACTTCTCCCCTTAACTCCCCAGTTTTACATGTAATTTAACATGGGATCTAAAAGGGGAAACACTGAAACTGAAAATCCTCTGCTGGTTGCATGAAAAATCCTTAAGGAAACCTCAAATTTTTCTCCAGGAAGTGATTAAAAGTTTCCTTTATAAAACTTATTTGGGGAATTGCAAGTCGCTGGTAACATTTTGCAGCAATGCATGCTCTGAGGCTTTCAGCATCCATCTCTAGTTGAAATGATCTGGGTCTCAGACCTATCACTAATAACCGTATCTGACCCCGTGGACTGGTCACTATCAGATACCACAACTAAAGCTACTGTAAACGGGACTGAGGCACACACCTCTTCCCAGCTTCCCAATCAGAAGTTCTGGGTAGTTCCTGAAACCCCTGCTCTGAAATTAAACACCAGGGACTGTGGTTTTATAGACCTCTCCCTATCCTCTCCTTTCTTCTTCCTCCTCCTCTCAGTGAATGTGAACCCCTGAATAAGGTGTCTCATTTAATTATCTGTCCAAATTCCAGGCCACTGTATGGTATGCTCGGTTTTCATCAGACGCTGCTAACGCTTTCGTTCTAAAAAAACCTGCCAGCTAATTAGATCTTTGGCAATCTGAGTTTAACCATCCAAAGCTGGAGGTCCCGCTCTAGCCTCAATCAGCGAGCTCCCTGTCCCTGTCGCGGTCTGGGCTGAAGTCCCTTCCCCAGGAAGACTTTCAAGCTGGAACCTTGCTTTTTAGAGGTTCTCTCTCCTCTTTCCAAGCTTACTTGATTTTTTGCACAAAGCTCACCAGTCCAACGTGGTGATGAATATGTATCCCTAGCCTGACAAATCCCATAGACAGATTTAAAGTAGAAATAAAACAGATTCAAAGTCCATTTTGATCCTATTCGCCTCAGACCGAGCACAGAAAGAGAGCACTGAATGGAAAAGGAAAAAGAGTAAAATGTTTATGAGAGCCTATTTAAAATACTGTATTTTCAATGACCTAAAACAGTCTAATAAAATTTTGACAGGTAACTACGAAAGTTCTAACAACTTTTTTTTTTAATTGGAGCCACATTTCAACAAGTTGAATGGACTTTTGTATTACTGTATTAAAACTATATTTCTGTCGTTTCATAAAGTTTCTTCCTGTGGCATGCAAAAGGCCCAGAAAGGGGACTGGTATTTGGAAACAGTGAACAATGCTCTTCTGTTTCCCCCCCTTTCTTGTTACTGTATGTAGTGATTAAACAAAAATGTCTGCTTTAGTCAAGATGGCTACAGGAGAGACTGCTGGCTTCTTTTAAAGCTTTTGAAGTCCGCAGCAGTCAGAAATCTCTGATCCCCTAATTATATCATTATCAGGCACATAGTTTCGGTATCTGTGACTTCATGTCAGCCTCAGTCCCTCCCTGTTCTGTCGGCCTTTGATAGGGCCAGGAGGCTTCCCTCTGCAGGCTACCAGGGCTGTTATTTAGGGTTAATTACACCCTTCCTTCCAAAATAAATAAATACTGTAGCACATCATCCTTGCTGGGCTAGCTTATCCTTTAACCTCATGCCTGCTACATGGCAATTAGAGAAAGGGAGAGGGAGTGCAAAAGCTAAATAACGCTTCCCATTAAAAAATACATATATATATCTGTTCACAGAACAGTAGGTAGAGTTCATGGCGGGGGAGGCGCGGGAATCCTTGAAATCTAGGAGTTTGGGTTATTTCGACCTAAAAGGCGAAAGCCGGCAGGGGAAAAAAAGAAACCGACCTTCTTTTTCTTTTTCTTTCTTTTTTTTTTTTTTTTTTTTTTTGGTAGTAGTGTGTAAACTCTGAGCTGAGTGGGAAATGGGACCGCTGACAGAGCCTACCCCTCCCAGCCCGAGAAGCCACACAGCACAACTCCTGCACACGGAGACACACACTTGGGGCACCTACTCCCTCACAGGGAGGGACGCACACTCGCTGGCTCACAAAGACACTCAGAGACACACACCGAAGGCACACGCGCGGACGGAGTCACACTTGGAGACGCGCGGGGACAGCCCGCACTCCAACCCCGCGCAGCGGCGAGCAGGGTCCGCGGTTTGGCGCGGCCGCCTCCGCCCGCAGGGTGCGGAGGGCGGCTGCGTCCCGGCGCGCACAACGGCCCCGCTCCCCGGCTGCAAACGTTCAGAAGTTCGCCACGGACAGACTTACAAAAACATTTTGACAACCACTTGCCCCGAGGTCTGACTCCACCTCCACGCGCCGGCCCCGGGACACCCAAGGGGGCGGCCGCGAAGCCACCGCCGCGACTTCTAAGAACGGGCAACTTGTCGCGACCTGCGGGCTCCAGCGCGGGAGGAAACCTCGCCCGCCGCTAACAAAGCCTTGGCAGCCGCCTTCAAAGGCCCGCGGCGGCGCGGCCGCCCCGGGACCCCCGCGCGCCCCTCTCCGGAGAGCCCGGGCCCCGGCCGGCCGGCGGGCACCCACCTTTGGTGAGCAGCACGGCCATGGCGCAGAGTTCGAGCTGCAGCCAGATGAAGATGTAGCTGGAATGGCGATCCATTGACGCCCCCCACGGCCGCGGCGCCCCCGCCGGCTCCCGGAGCCGCGGCGCAACTGCAGCCTACGGCTCCCGGAGCGCGCAGGGCATGGGGGCTCCCCGGGGCGGCGGGCGCCGTCAGCGACCGGGCGAGGGGCCGGGCCGCGGCCGGAGCATGGAGCGCGGCTGGAGGGGCGCCGAGGAGCCCAGAGGACTTTCGCGGTCCGCCTCTGCGGCCACCGGGCTCCTTCGCTCCGTTCGGCGCCGCGGCCCCGGGTGGGCTACCGGCCTCGTTCCCCCTCAGCCGGGCCACTCTGCGAAGGGAGAAGCTCCCCGAGCGCGCGCAGAGACCGCCAGCACCGAGCTCCTGCCTGCACCCGCCTCTGCCGGCCCGGGTCCGCGCCGCTGTAAATAGCGCCCCGCGCCGGGAGCCGGCCAGACTCCGCCCCGCCCCCGACCCCCGCCCCGGCAGCGCCAGCGCCGTCCGATTGGCCGCCAGGCTCCAGTCAATCATCTCCGCAGCCAGGAGGCGGGCCCAGAGGGGGCCCGGGAGGGACCTGCCCCGCGGCTCTCAGCGGCGCCGGCGTCTGGGGCTGCGGGCGGCGAGGTTGCTGTCTCCCGCGCTCCCCCTCGCGGAGGCCTGCGCGTCCGTGATCTGCGCGAGGCGCGGGTCGATCCCCGCCGCCGGGTCTCTGGCACTCGCCTCCGGGACCCTCACAACTCAGACTTGGCCGGCGTCCCCAGCCCGTGGCTACTTTTTTGTTGCCCCCGAAACACGCGGGGGACCGAGGGGTCGCTTGCGGAAGTCTTCCGGGGCCACGCTGCGCGCTTTAGGAACCCCAGGGACAAGTGGCGGTCCCCCGGTGTGCGCCATCTGCCAAGGCGCCCCTGCCGAGCCCTGCCCGCTCGCGTGTGGCCTAGGAGGGGGTTCCGTCGGGAGCCCGGAAGCGGGGCGGCCGGGGGCTGGGGTCTGCTTTCAGCCTTCCCCCCGCTCCCGCCCCGCCTCAGCGCATCCGCCTCCACCCGCCCGCCCTGTGATCAATAAAGCCCAGACAGACAGACTGTTGATCAGTGGGAGCCGCTAAGTTCTCCTGGGTAGACCGGGGACGAGTAGCCGGCTAGAGACACTTAACGAAAATTAGCAAATCCAAAAGCACCCGGCGCCAGCGAGACGACACAGGCCGAGACTGACACTCAATTAACCACCCCCCAAACAATCGCAGGCAAACACACCGGCTGACCCTGATCAATATCAGCCCCGCAGTGATCTCCTTTCTGAGATACTAATTCGTTTATTAGAACTTGCAGGGCTGCCGGCCCCCAACGTACCCAAAAGCAGTCCTGGAGGTTTTGCTGTTGTTGTTTTTTTATTTTTATTTTTTTGGTAAAATTCAACTTAAAACTCTTATCTGAGGGACTGCTCTTGTATCCCTTCCTCCCATAACCTGAGATTAACAAAAGTCAATTTGAGAAATTTCCTTTTAGGATCAGCCAACATTTCCCTACCTGATAAAATGCCAGGGGTGGCAGGGAGAGAAAGAAAAGCATTTAATGCCCGGGTGGGAGATGTAAAGTCAAATGCTTTAGGACCATGGTACAGCAATGAGCTTTGAGGCTAAGAAAAAGATATACATGTCTGGAGGACCAAAAATCAAGGTGAACCCTATAAATTAAAGTTGAAAGTCCGCAGAGGACACAGGATACAGTTAATGAAATCGCCTTTAAAAAATGTTTATATGCAGAAAAAAGAAAATAATGTCATAAATTGATGTTCTGCCCATTACTTCACTAGATCAAAATTGCATCTCAAAGGATGGGAGAGCACACCCAGAGACGTTTTAAGAGGAAGTTAAACTGGTTAGGGCACCAGGTAAAGAGCAGACAACTCTCAAGTGGTGGGCTGACCCTTGGTCCTGAGGACTTTGATTAGAACTTCCTGACATCTAATTCTTTGACAAGTTAACAGTTCTAAGGGGCTCCTGCAGACAATACTTCTCACGTAATGACATCCTCTTTTTTTAACTCTAGAGAGTCAATTATTAGCGAAAAGGAAACTTTTAGAGTATCTTCATTCACCTATCTCCAAGCGCCCACTATAGGCCAGACTCTGGAGCTGTAAAGATGTCAGGACCTAAACAGTAAATCACAAACAATGGAGTGGGACGATGATAGAGATTTATGTGCACAATGTTATGACGCATACAGAAAGAAGAGATAACTAGCCCAGGAAGGTATGGAAGTCCGGAAGATCTGCTGGAGGAAGCAGTGACATCCTGCGTGACTCCTAAAGAACAAAGAGAATAGCCAGGAGGCCATTACAAGCATAGGGGACCACAGGAACCTAGGTGGGACATTTATTGATTGTGTTGGGGGATGTGGGTGGTCAGTAGGGGATGGAGAGATGGGACTGCAAGCAATTCTTGGTTGCTGGAACATAAAATGAGAAGCAAGGAGCAGGCAGAGATGCATCAGAAAATAATGATATTTACCTGTAATGCAGATAAATACTTGTTTAAGGGAAGGCAGTCTAGGGGGATGTATTGATGAAAGTTGTATTGCAGTAAACACTTTCTGAGTGCCCTCCCAGCCCACTTCAGAGGAACATCTGCTTTCTCTGGAGTGGGCACTGGCAGCCAGACTGGGAGCCTCACCCTCTCTGCCCATAGGTAGTCACATGACCCTGGTTGGGCCAATGAAGTGCTCTCTTCTGGATGGTTGGGCAGAGATGCCGTCAATCTGTAAAGGTCAATTCACAGGTGCTGTTCAAATTCGGAGTCCACCTGTCTGCAAAGGGAAAAACGACAAATGGACTTCCAGTCACTTGGTGTCACTTCAGGTCCTTCGAGTCCTTATTAAGGTTAACTCAGGCACCTTGGTAAGTTCCTCTTTTTACTTAAGGTTTTTTTACTTTCAACCCAAAGGATCTGTACTATGATACTTGTATTTTATTGAATTAATTTTGATTTTTTATCATTCCAGGGTGTATAGTTTTTTGTTCCAAACACAATTCAGAATAAGAACTTACGATCCATTCTTCAGACAATGATTTCAACTCTTTTGTTTTTATTATTAGTTTAATGGGCAGACTTTTTAAATGGCCAGAAATTAGTTTTAAGAGAAACAAGTCTGTACTTTGTCTAATGGTTTTGGAGCAGACATGGACTGGACTTTTCAACTAAGTGAATGAGAGTGTTTAAATCAATATGGAAAGTCAAAATTGGTTTATGGATAATATGTCAATTATGAGGCCATATTGATAGTTGAAAGAATAGGTAACAATTTTAATTTAAGACTCAAGGAAATTGCTTCTCTACAGAATTTTACTTGCGTTTTGCACCTAATTCAGTTCTTACTTTCCTACACATAGGTTGGTAAGTAGAAGAGAAAATAGTAAAACTAGTGTCTTTTGGAAATTTAAATTAAGAAAGGAAATCAATGACCAAAATTCTTTTTACTCTTATGCAGGGAATTCTGAATGTATAAGCTAGAACCAAGCTATCCATACCTAAGAATAGAACGCTGATTCTAGACCTAACAAACTGAAATAATTAAACATTATAATAGTTTAATATTATTACCTTCAAAGAGTGTTCTAGATATATTTTATCCTTGGACATATATGGATATATATTATATATATATAACATATATAATCACAACACGCCACTATGACATATTTTTCTGGTTGCTCTACACCACAGAATAACTTTCTAAATTTTATTTTTTTTTATAAATAGCAAAAAAAAAAGGGGGGGTGGTTTATGTCCAGCCCATTTTGTTAACAAAGATATAAATACCAATCTCTGCCTACTCAAATAATGCTGTTGTTTCCCAAAGTTATATGTGATCCCCATTTTCAGCAATGCCTCTCTCTTCACAATGCAGATGAAAAATAATTCTTGGTACATTTTGTTCAGAGAGAAACAGTTGTGTTCAAATTCCTGGCTCGCATACAAGCAACTCTTACAGTCTAGGGATAGAATCTAACATTTCTGCCTGTTATACAAATCTTCTACCAACTAACAATCCACAGAGGTTAGGTAACACTTTGAATTCCCAGTAGCAGCTTTTTAAAAAAGTCATTTGTTCTCAGTAGAAGTTGGGAGTTCAGAACTGAAAATTTATTTTCATTGGAATAAAGTCAAAGGTGAGAGATTAGCCCAGCCTAAAGGAATGGCTATCTAGTGAAGTGGGGTTTTTTTTGGGGGGGGTTCTTTTTTTTCCAAAATGAACTGACTGTAGAGTCTGGGAGGTAGTGTGATAGGACCTAGAAAAAAGACTGAAGGTCACATTCCAAAATGCCCATCCTCCCACAGGTTAGCAAAAATGCTATGGGGTCTTACAAATAAACCCTGCAGTATCTGTTAGCTTGAGGTTTTCTTAAGAATTTTTAAAGCAGGAGCGCCTGGGTGGCTCAGTCGTTAAGCATCTACCTTCGGCTCAGATTATGATCCCAGGGTCCTGGAATGGAGCCCTACATCAGGCTGCCTGCTTCTCCCTCTCCCACTCCCCCTGCTTGTGTTCCCTCTCTCGCTGTATCTCTCTCTGTCAAATAAATAAATAAAATCTTGGAGGAAAAAAAGAATTTTTAAAGCAATTTGGGGCACCTAGGTGGCTCAGTTGGGTTAAGCGTCCAACTCTTGATTTCAGCTCAGGTTGGGATCTCAGGGTCGTAGGATCAAGCCCCGGGACGGGCTGCACGCTCAGTGTGAAGTCTGCTTGGCATCCTCTCCCTCCTCTCCCTCTGCCCTTACCGCCCTCAAATAAATAAATACATCTTAAAAAAAAAAAGAATTTTTAAAGCAACTAAGCTTAGAATACAGAAAGAAATGTCCCTGGTTAAAGTATGTTACTTTATGAATTTAACCACAAGTATTATTTATAATCCAATAGCATCAAATATATTCTGTATGATCCTTGACCATAAGCCATAGCCTTTTGCTATTCAGTTATGTTGGTGTAATTAAGCCAGTAGAACTTTTAGAAATTTTTCAATAACCTGCTAGTTTTGCCTACCTATGTCAAATAACCAGTTTGATTCCTTTTGTTCTTTTAACTAAAATGATAAATCAATCCTTTAAAGCAGAAAAATTACTTTAAACAAATCCCTACTTAAAGGAATGTCCTTGACCCAGAATGCTGTTCAGTAATGCAAGGAACAGTATTTTTGAGTTCTATCTCCTTAGCTGACAATACTTTGCTTGTGTTCTTTTGGATTAAAAAAAAAATGTTCACATTCAAACCACTGAAATTCAGAAGCTTTGATATTTTCATTAAACAGCCCAACATTTATTTATTTATTTTTTAAGATTTTATTTATTTATTTGAGAGAGAGAGAGTGAGAGATAGAGAGCATGAGAGGGAAGAGGGTC